CTGAAGACTAAGCTCTTTCTCCACCCAGTCCAGACTAACGAGCGCTCCAAATTTAAGCCAGTCCTCTCAGAAGTAGCTCAAGAGCTGGTGATGCTCCAGCAACACTGGCTGAGGGGATGGGTTATGGTGACATGTGGGGTCTACAAAATCAGCAACAAAAGTAGTTTAGGTTGAGCTCAGTCAAACCATCTCCGAATTCTGGTCAACTTCTGCAAAAAGTTTCAGCTCAGGAAACACGAAAATCCCAACAGTCCATTTCAGCAATTCTGGAATATTTGCTTTTAAAGCTGGTTTGTAAGGAGACAAAACTGTTACAGAAGATACAGAGGAAGTGGTAACTACTCCAGTGAAGGCACCACTTATGCATAGTGCTGGGAGTATTCTATCTAAATAACAAACTGCTAGGCTTAAAAAGTTTATTAACATTTACTAGCTGTTCACATACATTTCAGAGTTGTATGGCACATATATTAAATACTCTGCAGGATGAAGAAAAAAAAATCACTCCATATGTCAGAATGCACACAGAAAATCAATACATTTTAAAAGTTCTATTTATCCAAATTGAAAGGAATGGAAAAGAAGCAAAAGTAATGTTGATTCATTTCTACACAGAAAGCCTAGAGAAAGGCTACACATTCTTTGTGTTTTCAGTTTGTACAGTGTATTTCATATTCTTGCAAACATGTTAAACAAGGACGATATTTAGACTATGTCTGATGTGCAGCTGGCTGGCAGGGCAAGGACAGCTATCAGGTAGTGCCAGGCACTGCTCACTTATTCCCCTTTCAGCCTCATGCTACATAAAAGAGAGCAGCTAGAAAAAGGCTTTCACAGTGTCAGTAAGCTGCTGTATGTGCCAGCAAACAGCATCTCACATGTTTCAGGAATAGCGTCCCATCATGTGAGAGCCAAACTTCAGCACTGCTTGTTGTATCAGCTGACCTGAGCAAGGCCTGGAGATGCAGTAAACATCCCCTGGAAGTCTGACAAACACATAAAATTAGGTAAACCAGCTATGACCACACAGTGGAGAGGTTTTCATTCCTTTCAATTACATTATTCTTATTACATGTAAAATCCAAAGGGGGTGGGGGGGGAAACAAACCAAAACAACTCAAAATACAGTAGTCTTTCCATTTTCTGAGACGGATATTTTAAGTCTTGCCATTCTGTTTCAAGTACCAATTTACCATTGTTGATCTTGTTCACTTTCAGAGAAAATCAGATGGCAGTGCATTAATAAAATTTTTAGAGGTAATTTCAAATATGACTAGTCTTAGCTTGTGTGCATCTGAAAGCTTCTGCAGCTAAATATGAAAATACTGACTTCATGTACAGCATAAATTTAATGTGAAAGGGAAGTTTTAGGAGGTTTTAGGAAGGCTTTGTATAACACGGTGGTGCCTCTTAGGAGAAGCAGGGCACACACAGAATAACCAGATGAGGCTGATAGCAGACTAAAAAAGAAAGCTGTGCAGTATGCATCATTAGCAGCGTGCAGTACAGGACTAAGTTCAGTCATGTAGGCCACAGTAGGGTCTATTTTTAATTTTTCAATGCACCAGAATGCAGTGGTACCTTGATACATGACCTCTGACAAATGCTTAGGTAGGTAATGCAAACAGTAGCACTGCAAAGCACATAGATCACCTCTGCGCTGGAATTCTGGCTAAGGGAACAAAACAATTTTTTACTTTTCTGCAAACCAAATAAGACCTTTTTTTTTAAGAAGGTCTGTCCTTTTACGATCCAGGTTTTAGCAGAAAAGTCTGTGTGCAACACAGCAGATATTCAACTTGATTCTGAAGCGCTTATGTCTTGACTATTGAGAATGTAGGTCAGTTCCTTCACAACATGCAACCCATCATGGCCTACTGTTGAAAACACCACTATTTCCTTCCAGCAGAATTCCATTAGGTATATGGGGTAGATATTTTAAAACTTTCTTGTATTTTGCTAAAATCTCATCATTCTTATAAAACCCAGTAGACAGAGATACGCAAATACTAACTAATCTCACATCAGAGATTCCCACATGCCAGTTTCAAGAAGATGGAGAAAAAATATGTAAATGAACAAATAAGTGGATTCTTAAAAAGCAATCTATTCTTAGGAGCCTGTTCATTATGCAGCAAAAAAATTAACATGACTGACCCAAGGTGAAAAGGGCTGAAGACGTTTATCAGTGATTCACATTGAACAGGTCATTATCTGAGCTACCAATGCATGACCCAGTGACATCAGCAGAAGTTTACAAAGAGGGGGAAAAACAAACAAACAAAAAATCAGATTTTTGGTGGGGGGAGGGGGAGACAGAGGAGGGGCTCATCATTAACAACTGTCTTTTCTTGAAATAGCCTAGGAACTCTCCATCCAGTCTCTATTTCAAGAACAGCCTTTTGGCCAATATCATTGTATGGTATCAGCTTTGCTTCACACCATCATGTTTTGCCCCCTCACTACAGCTCCATACTTGAAAAGCTGACCATAGAAATCATGCTTCAAACAGAGAAATCACATCTGAGCACATGCTGCTTTTTCACAAGTTAAACCACCACTGGGTCTGTGACTTGTTGATGTGAAGAGTTAAGTGGAGTCCAGGCCTCGGTCATCCCAGCTAGCAAGGATTTACACAATGCATACACCAAGATGCTCACACAGCTTGCACAGACAGAAATTTGCATCCAAATGAGATACAGAATCTGACACAAAGTTTTCAGCCATTTTTACTTATTGATGGCATTCACGCTGCCATAAAAAAAGTCTTGATGGCAAAGAGACAGATGTAGGAATCTGCAAGTATTGAATCCACTGCTACAATTCTCCTCAACTTTTACATGTGAAGCATTGAAAAATATGGAAGCTCATCCTTAGCAATAAATCATCAAAAACAGACGGTAAGATCTGTATGTTACAATTACCCTCTTGCTCTTCTTCAAAAGAAAAAGACATAAAAAACTGTTAGGTGTTCTTCATTATCATGAGCCTGTACAAATAAACAAACAAAACAAAAAAAAAAAAAAGAGAGAAAAAAAAAAGCATTCTGGTGACTGCCCAATATTCAGAGAAGCAATTCTGCATCTTCTTAAAAATTTTGGGGGGAAAAAAAAAAGGAAGAAAGGTCAATTCAACACTAGTATTCTTTAAAACAAGTCACTTGATAAAGTCCTCCTAATCAAATCTCTGTCAAAATTCCCTTCTCTTTCAGATACCATTTTGTAACCAGGTGTGAAATATTACAGAAATTGAGATCGTTCTGACAAGGTACCAGTGATGTGGAGGTAACATTTTGCCATAAAACCAATTCTTACTGAAACAGAATTGCTCCAGCCATTCTTTGAAAAAACGCTAATGGATTGGGTATGGAGTTGAATTAGAGGAGACAATTCAAAGGCATGATTTTGAAGGCAGGTTTGATGAGTATTTCCTTAGGAAGTATAGAAGACAGGCAAACGTCAAACAGTTCCACTAGTACTAAAACTTCCAGTTAAATCACTCTTAAAGGTTTGACATCCCTCCCTCTTTTTCTTTCTCCTTCTTATACTGCCAAAAACAGGGCCTGCAACAGTGCAAACCACGCATCTCTTTAAAGCTTAAAACAGCCCACAGCTTATTTAAAGGCTCTAAAAGTTCTTGATTTATTCAAGCAGCTTTATCCACTCAAAATAAATAAAATGTTTCCTGAATTTCCATCCATATGAGCATGAAAACAACTTCCACACAAAACATATTAACTCAGACACTGCATGGCACGATTTTTACAGTTCCCAAAAGTACCACTGAAAAGGTAAACACTTGTTAGAGACACGAATTTTCACTTTAAGACCTGTCACTGCCACATATACTTGAGTAGGATGGAAGGGCTCTCACTCAAAGAACAGTGAGAAATATAAATTCGAAGTGTCAAAAATGTTTCCTTTCACTGCACCAGTCTTTGTCATCACTTATTTAATTAAAAAAAAAAAAAGTACATTTGGCAACACTGCCAATTTGAGAAACTTCATGACTTGCAGGAATGTTAAGGAATCAACACCCAGCATTCTCTCTTCATGACACAGATAACCAGACTACCATTTTTTCGTCGTAACATGGTAAGAAAATCATTAGTTCTCTACTGTGAAGGGTTTTTCCCATTCTAGAGTCTCATCTGTAGACATCTGTATGCCATACAACTTCAAACAACCTAACAATAAAAACGTAATAGATAGTCTAATAGGAAATAAAATTTCAGAAACACAGAATCATCTTATGACATTTAGAAACCAGTGTACCATCTAACCAAAAGACTGTCAGTGAGTATAACTCCAGGGTAAAAGACCTGCAACTAACCACACTTCAAAAAGTAGTTTTACCCAAAGTCCGTGTAGTTGTTTCATCTGAACAGACATTTATTATCTATCAGTCTCCCCAGTAGAAACTTACTTCTCAGACTTTATCCATAAAAAGGGGCCAGACTAGAGTAAGGAACAAAAAGGAAACCCAAAAGTGTTTGCTCTTTTTCAGATTTAAAGACACCTTGACCATCTGAAAATGTGTCATTACACTGTCAATAGTTCCAGACCAAAACCAACAAAACCTGAAAATAAATAATGCAAGAGGTATCTTCTGTCTTCTAACAACAGGTTACAGCTTTAGACTTGAAATGTGCCACAGTATAAAGGAAAAGAGAGAGAGAACACACATGTGCCTTGACCCAATAAGTTAAACAACCAATCAATAATGATTTTTTTTTTTTTTGCAAATAACTACTCAGATGCAGGAACTTACCTGCATTACATGCACATTTTAGCAAGTACACATGCATTTACTATTTCCACCAATGCCTTTCTTTCCATCCACTAAAAAAAAAAACAAAACAAAACAAAAAAACCCCAAACAAATTAAGAACAAGGCACAAAACCCATACATCTCTGACCAAAAACTTTACTGCAGTCTGTGTTGGTATAGCTGGAGAAATCCGTACCATCAGAGAAAGCTGCATCCTGCTACGCTGGACACCACTGATGTTGGAAGAATTAATCATTCATAGATCAACAATTGGTTCTTTCATCTCCCTGGCTTTCTCAGACCAAACCATTATGTATTTTTTTCTACCTACTGATCCTGTTACAGTCTAATTTTTCAGCTGCATGTAGCAAAGACATCTGAAAAACACTGATATTTCCAGAATGCAACTCACTGAAAGAAACCAATGAGGGTACCTATCTGCTTCTGTGGGCTTCACAACTTTACTAGTCTCAAGAACTGACTTAACATAAAATTCTGTACTAAAATCACAATCAGATAAGCTATGGAAAAATGTGGAAGGCAAATTGAAGTGCACCCAAGTCCGTCTTTCTGGCTTTCTACCAAGAGCAGTCCATGTGAACTAATCCATAAGATAGCTGACCTTTTACCAAGTAAAGTTTTAGGACTAAATACTTCAGCTAATCAAAAACTAAATTACATGTATACATTAACTCAACCCATATCTTTAAAATTAAGCTGTATTCTGGCTAGCCAAAACGGCAGCACATTCAGTCACTACTAAACCAACAAGAATACAGCTTTTTCAATATCACTGCAGAGAAAGAGAAGGAAAGGTGGCATTTGCGATTCCAGAGCGCTGCGCCTCATCACGGCAGTAACAGGGAAGAAAAAGTCACTGGAAGAGAAGGTTGTCATGGGAAACATTTCTCCCACTTTTATCGCTGGCTGGGTTTGTCCTTTAAAGGCTCACCCCTGCAGAGGCCTGGCAGGTGACATCCCGGCAGGTGACGTGAGCTCGGCACAGCCAGCCCTGCCAAGGGCGAGGGACGCTTCCCTCGGGGGCCAAGCTGAACCCCGGGTGTCCGAGCCCGCCGGCTCTGTCCATAACGCCACCCCACGACACTCTGAAGGGCGAAGGGTCTCAGCAGCGCAGATCTGGGGCAAAAAACCTGCACCCTGCTCAAGGATGCAGGCGGGAGGATGCTTCCCCAGCCCTCGCTAGAAGGGTCCCGCACACCCCTCCCGGCGGAAAGAAGCAGCTCTGGAAGGAGAATCCCGCGCAGATGGACCGCGGCATCCCCGGGAGCCCCGCAGGGACGGGCACGGGGACCAGCACCGTCCGTGCGGCCCGGGGGACACACTGTGAGGGCAGCGGGACCGGCCGGACTGGCCCCACCCGGGGGAGCCGCGGGGGCAGAGCCGAGCCCGCCGCAGGGAGGGGAAGGGAAGGGATGCGGGGCTTCCCGGGGCGCCCGCCCGCGCTCACCGTCGATGTTCTCCCGGTCGCTGATGTGCTGCAGGTTGCAGCCCGTGTCCTCCCGGCTCAGCTCGGCCTCGGGGCGGTAGGACTCCAGCCGGGAGTGGGCATTCCGGCGCAGCTTGGGGCTGGAGGAGACGCAGCAGGACGTGGTGTTCCCCATCTTCTCTGCCCGGCCCCGGCCCGGCTCGGGAGGAGGCGAGGGGCGGCCGGTCAGCGGGGGCGCCGGGAAGCCATGGGCGGCAGCGGCGACGAGAGGGAGCGGCGGGGGAGGAGGCGGCGGCTGCGGCGCCCTGCGGCTGCACTCGCCGGCCGGTCCCCCCGGCGGCTCATCCGCGGAGGCGGCCCCGCAGCGCGGCCCTCCGGCGTGGGCTGCGGCAGCTAAGCCGCCCTGCAGCGCGGGCGGGCGGCGCGGGGCCCGCCGGGGCACAGCCCCATCCTCCC